GGTGGTAGTATTAATTAAATTAAAGTACTCTATATATATATATATATATATATATATATCAGTCAATTATTTTAGAAATAACAAACATTTCATTTTATTACAATCAGGAGCTTGAGGTGGGCTAGACAAAAACTGAGGTGGCTGTACTCTACATCGTGCAGGCACACATACTGTAATATTTAGGAGGTGAATAATAAGCATTTTGCATTGGGTGTAGGGGCTACAGGACATTTTTGGGTAGCTTTAGCCCAAGCAAACACCTTCACCACCACTTCCTCTGACTTTAGAAAAGCACACAAAATATACTTGAGATATATTTATCTTGTAAGAAAAACAATTAATGCCTCAAGTTCATAATTATAAAAAAACAAAATTCCTTTGTATTACTTACCTGATAAATGATGACCATTCTGGTTTTAATGGACTGTTCTGCTTGTTTCTACAGTGAACAAGAAGGAACTCTTATCACGGGACCACTCTTAATCACCAAAAATTCACCACACAGTTAATGTTAAATTCAACCTTGTGGTATGCAGACATACCACATTTTTCAACTTTTTTTTAATTTTATGTAGAATTTTTCAACATGTTTTCATTTATTTCTAGGTTTGGTTTGGTTTCTTTTGAATTTCATGCAAAGCTACACTAAGGCTATCTGTCCCTAATTTAGAAATGAAAGACTAGAGGAAAAGCAGCTAGTCATCACCACCTGCTGCCAACTCTTTTACCATTGAAGAATGGGATTAACCATCACATTATAACACCCCCATGGCTGAAAGTGTGAGCATGTTTGGTGGGACGGGGATTTGATTCTGCAACCATCAGATTCTGAGTCAAGAATCCTAACCACCTAGCTTATCTTGATGCAGTTTTCACATGACACATGGTTGAGAAAGTCGTTAAGTTGATTATGTTATATTTACACTTTTTCTTTGTCATTCCTTTAGAGATAACATCTGGTCTGCCCATAGGAGTTAGGATAAGCTATAAAGCTACATATTGCTTAAGAAAGTCGAAAGCAGTGTTGTTCAATGGCAGGTCAGATGCTATCTCGAGGTTACAACCTCCTTTAGGATTGAATTGGAAACAACAGTCTCAAGAATAGAACTAGTTGGTCTGGGTAAGTCAGACATTAAGGATTAACCTGCATAACATGAGAATGAAACAGTCTGGAACATCATCTTGAAAGTATCAGTCAGTTTGAAAATGAGTCTTAAAGGAGTTTAGCCAGCATGTTCAATTTACAATACCAGTGAGGACAGCTGTCCATCGTGTAGTATACACACATACACATTGGGTTTGTGTCTTAATAAAGATTGTTTTCATTGCGTATCACACTTTGTCACCAGTCCATTTCTTTCTTACCAAATACTCAATTAGTTTTAGTAGAATTCAGTGTCACTTCACAGTTTACCTTGTCAAGTCTCCCATTATATAGAGGATCTACCTAAATTACTCCTTTAGGAAAAATCAGTTTACCTGAAGAAAGCAGTAGTACAAAAGCAGTAAACTCACACTCTAGAAACAGGCAGAAGTAATCCCTTAATGTCAAAACTGTACTAACGTTGCACTCCTTAAAACAACACAAATAATTTCAAAAAGTTATGAATCTATGATTTTTTTTTTTTTTGTAGTTTGTATTCTAAATTGACTTTAATTCACCTACATTGTTAATATTGTAGTTAATATCAAATCTTTCATTTATTCTAAGTCAATTCAGTTTTGCATAAGATACGGTGAAGGAAGGAAAGTTGACTTTGTTTTAGCTGCCTTTGCCATTCTACGGAGCTAACACCTGTTCTGTTCATGGATGTAATCCTGCCAATGTCCTCCAGTGGTGACACCTTGAAGTTATGGCCTCCCTTGTGTTTAAATGAGAAGGAACAGTCACGTGGGTAGTGCTAGTCACTATAGGTAAATCTGTTTCCCATTAAGTAAGAAACATTTGATTTAAACATTTGTGTTCTGGATCTAGAACGAATGGGTTAGAGGGAATACATCTCAAGGGAAAAAAAACCAGTTTCATCAACTCACAAATCCAGTGAGCGATAGTCATTCAGCGTCCATAAGCAAGTACACACACAGTCTTTGAATTAATAAAGTGGGTTTCATTCTCAGTTAAACACAGTCTGTTTATGTCTTTATTGAAATTCTATTAGTTTTAGTTAAATACAGCATTACCTCATAACTGATCCTCCCAATATATAGCAGAACTACTTAATACTCATTAAGGAGATCATTTTAACACCAAAATACCACATTGACGTCTCTGCTAGTTTCCTCTTACAAAAAAATAAAAAATTCTTTACCCAAAATCTTCATTATTACTCAACATAATTTTTGTTAAGTGAAAACTTTTCAAGATAAGTTTCACAGTTTCCATTGGCATGAAATGCCAACTTTTAATATTTAAAATAAAGGCCTCACAATAATTTATCTCCATACATGGAATCTAATTCCACAAAACTTTTTGTTAGAACTGTTATTTTCATCAATGATTTTAAGTGAAAGTAAGTTTATATCTAAATTTGTTAATATTATTCAAAAGCTAGTAAAGGCCGGTACCGACAGAATTATTTAATTCATGGCGGGCTCATCAAAATGGGTTAACCATGCAATAAATGTTTAAATTTTGAAAAATTTAAGGTCATGCATTCAAGTGTAGTAATTGATACACAAACAGTTAATTGGTAATCTGAAAGGGCTAAATGGTATTTTTACACTATTCATTCACAAATATATTTTAAATATGTACATGTATTTACCAATTATGTACTGGTTGTTTGTTTCAGATATTTGTATGAAGCAAAACAAAGGTTCTTTGTACTAGACATCCCTAATTCTGAGCTGATAAGACTAGAGGGAAGGTTGCTAGGCAACAGCAGCCCTTGTTAACTCTGAGCTACTATAACTGAATAACAAAGGCACCTGTGGCCCCAAAATGCAATGCACAATTTTGTGGCAACTAGACATAAACCATGGATTTTCAGTCATGGTTCAGCACCCTAAACACTGAGCCACACATGGACAAACTGTGTGCTGTGTAATCCCCCTTATAAATGTAAACACACTTGTTAACATATCAAGTGTTTATGATTTACAGTTTCTCTCAGCCAATATCTTCTCAGTTTATAGTATTAAAAAAAAATACGGAAAAACCAATACAAAATTTGTATTTTAGTTTTGTTTTGAAATACAATGCTGAAGTTCATCAGAAAGTGATTAAAAAATCCTAATACTGTTTTGAAATTAGTCTGCTTCACAAGTACATCTTGCATCTAATAAAGTCATGATATGTTTCAAGTCCAAAAACAAAAATAGTCAGCAAAGAAAAACATAACTGAAAAAAAATATTTCTCCTCACTGACATGTATAGGTTAGATAGGTGTCTCAAAATGTCATATGGCAAAAAAAGGTTAAACCTTAATAACTAAGACTATTTATCACTACCATAACTGCCTGCTAGTATGAATAGGAATTCAATCAAAAAATGTCATCTAAAATAGAATTTATTGTAATGAGAGATTTCTTCAGTTCTGCTAGAGGAACATCAAACTAGAAAAATAGATATTACAGATGAAATTTTGTTGAAATGCTTTTGTTGAATGTAAACAATACAAGTTTAAAAATTTAATTTTGAATTTGATTGCAACAATAACAAAAGAAAAACATACAGTAAAACAATTTAAACTATAACTACTAATCATTGGAAAATAAATCCTTATACACACAACATTTGAATGATGTATTTAAAATTTAATTTACATATACAATATTTTCTTTTTCACTTTCAATGAAAGCTACAAATTCATTAATATATTAATCAGCAACAAATATAAAAATTTGTCACTGTTTTCTTTTTCAATTGATTGACAACAGTATTATTTGACAGCTAAAATATCTCCAAGTTTCAATCAATAATGCACTGATGAAAAATAATTCTTCGTATATATATTTAGATAACCAAGGTTTTGTTTGAAGTAAAATTTCTAGAAGAATATGTAGTACTGTACATATAGAAATATGAAGTATTTTCCTGTAGGTATCAAAGTTTTAAACTTCCAATAAATTATCTCATTGTTCACAATTGTTAACTAAACAATTTAAGCTGCAAATTAATTATTTTATTTCATGACTATATTTTACTGCATTGACTTTTCTTTACCATGTTTGTATTGTTTATAAATATTAAATGCTGTGATAAAAGCACTATTTTAAAAGTTATTTTGTCAAGCTAAATTAACAGTATTTATCAAATATATTTATTAAAGTCACGAGCACTTGGAACCTTTGGTTTATATAAATTATCATTTTTGGTAAGAGTTCTACATGGTATAACTTATTTCATGATGCTTACACAATACTGTTAGTTTGTCAGGTTTAATTAAGAGTATTTATTAAGTATATTCATTAAAGTCCTGAGAACTTGGCATCTTTGGTTTATATAAATATTATCATTTCTGGTAAAAGTTCCATGTGGTACAACTCCTTTCATGATGCTTTCACAATACTGTTGGTTTGGAAGGCCAGTGCGAGAAACACTCTTCATTTTAATCTCCACAATAGGGTGCATTTCTTGTGTATTATTTAAAAGTTGAATCATTTATTAATACATCAAATTATGTCATTCAGTTTGCAATCACAAAATGTGAATGGATTTAACCCATTGTTTCTTTGACTCTTACATCAATATTTGTAGCAACAAGAGCAAGACATTTATTGAGGTTCATGAAAGGGTTAACCTCATAATGAGCTTTTTTCAGGTCTTCTTGGTATGGAATTACTATTCTTCATAAAGTTTAGAGTTCAGAATAAAAATTCCACTTATTTTTAGTAACTTATATAGTGGTAGAGTTTCAAAGATAAAAATTTTAAACTCTGAATCAAAGAAAGATTTATTCAAAAAATAGGTTCTTTTCCTCCTTTCATAACTTTTCCTTCAACTATGTGTTAAGTATAGAATTTTTATTTTGTAATTTTAGGAAAAAAGTGTTTAGATATTTTGACAAGAGGAGGGTTGAATGTTTAAAGTATGAACATATACATCATGGGTTTACAATTCACAACTTTTATTCTTATTTAAGTATTCTATTTATAAATAGAAACCATCCTATAATCCAAGTGCTTTATGAATTAAAATAAAACTTCAACTAGGACATTAAAACTGACAAAAAATTTTGTAAGTAGGTCTATTAGTTCAAACATTTCTGAAAACTATTTATAAATTTAAGACAAATGATGATACAAATTTACCAGATAAATAATATTTCAAGCATTACTAAAGCAACTCAAGTTTTAAATTTTTTTTAAAAATTGTACTTACCTTTGGCAAAGAACGAACTATTTATTGTAGCCTGATATTTGGTACAACCAACCAAACAAGAAAATTCTGTTACTTGTATATCTTAATGTATCTATCACAGTGAAATTTATTCTAGTTTTGCACAACCAAGTAACTTGTATCTATGAGACTGAACTAATGCATGGTATTAAAGAAAGGGCAAAGTTTTTTTTAATTTGTTTATTTCTTAATTTCTTAAACAGATTTTTAGCCATACAATATGTTACAAAATTGAGATACCACAATAAATAATAAACCATTAATGCTGTCTCGCAAACTGCAAGAAAAATAAATGGGCACACTGTTAATTTTATGCTTGCCTCATCTAATCTCAATTAAATCCTTGGATTTAGACTACATTTGTATCTTGCAAAACTGAAAGATTTGTACAAATCAAGCAATGCCCACATGCTCACTTAACAAAAACTTAAAGCTAAAAGTAACTGAATAAGCATCATAATAGAAACAGCACAAATATACAAAAAGCTTTCCTTCATTTAAAACATTTTAATCAATGATAAAAGATAAGTAAATAATTCATACCTTAATATGCTTGAAAGCATTTTCTAAATTCTATTTCATTGCAATTTGTAAGACTGAGACAAAACTATCAAAAGGTCAAAATCTTATTTGGTGATAATAATTAATTAATAGTATAGTCAAATTAAATTAATGTGAAATTTCCAGAAAATTACCTTAAATTGAAAACATTAAACCTGAATAATTAATTGAATTGACAACGACTGTTTATCATTATTGTCTGTATTCCAGCCAACAGAAAACTTCACAAGAACTTGAAGTAGCACTCTGAAACATCAAACAATATTGTCAACAGTTAGTTGTTTTAACTACATTACTATTAGTTCTGTATTAGTCTTAAGAAAGTATTCTTGTAGTTTGTATCTACATGGCGTACTTGCGAGTCCATTCACGTGCTACTTCGCCAAACTTCTCTTTGTCAGTTTTGAACACTCTTGCTATTTCAGGTACAAGTGGATCATCTGGATTTGGATCACATAACAGAGAACAAATTGATAATAATACTTTTGATATTGTCAACGCCGGTGACCATTGTGATCTCAATATATCCAGGCATATGCTTCCGTTACTGTTAATATTTGGATGATAGATTCTGGTTGTAAATGCTAACTTAGGTGGCTTAAATGGATAATCAGTTGGAAAATGAATTGTCAAAAAAAATACACCTCCCTGATATGGACTTTCTGACGGACCCATTATTGTGGCTTGCCAATGAAAAAGATCATCACTCACAGGGCCGGCGGAACATTGGGCAGGAGGGTCCTTTCTTAGATCGTCCAGTTCTTTTTTTATTCGTTTTAGTGCCATTTCTCGGTTGCAGTATTTTTTTTACTATGACAATAAATATGTGACTGTAAAAGCAGAACAAGACTTAAGCATGTAACGTCTAAGAAATCCACACAATTCCTACACTCTTTGGGAGATAGTAGGCTAAAGACAGAGCAACGCCAATCCGGTTATAGTCAAATAGGTCATCAATAACGTCATTAGATTTGTTTGTGATCATTGGTCCTCCGGTTAGTGCGTAGTTTAACTTGGTTTGTAGCGTTTAACTTCGGATTGCTTATACAAGTTTTTTTCCGAGTTTATTTCCACGTGATTTTATTTTCAAATTATCGTCAGGAAACTAATTTAATTTTATATTCCTATTCATATATATATATATATTCTTCGGTGAAACATTTAAAACATCTCGTAAAACGGTGATGAATATAGGGGAACTTTGTTTATGGTTCTTCACCAAAACTGGCACATTTGTAGTGTTTGACCTACGGATAACTTTTGAAAGTGAAACCAACCGAAAAAATCCAAAATAGCCGCCATATGTTAGGTATATTAAGATTATATATACATATATTAAGAATGTCATAAAACCCTTTTTTATTGACTTTAAATGGTTAGAATGCTGTTAAGTACGTAAGAAAGAAATGTTTGTGAGACTTATATCATTTAATCAGAATAATTGTGTATAAAACAACATATTTTACACATCCCCCATCCCCAACTTTTAGGTGATATTTGGTTCTGTAGTAACCATTACTGTCGTAGAAAGCTGAAATATGTTATTTATTCTTAATTCTGTATCTATTGTGGAATACTAAAATTGCCACTGTAGTTGTCTGTGTCCCTCTCTGCCTTCGTATATTAATTATCTGTTTGTAATACCTAAAACATATTGTTACGTCTCCGTTTGTTAATTGATTTTCCGTAAATTCGTTCCGACGAAACTTTAGCGACACAAGTCCTTACTTAATAAAACTGGTTTATTCTTTCCGAATATAACTTTACGATACACTTAATTTCAACAATCGCGCTAAAACAAACGCTATAACAACGAACGTGCTCAACTTCAATAATACTTTCTCACTGCAGATCAATTACTCACTACCTACACACACATTGTTGTCCCGTCGCGTTGTCACCCTCTTATATATATACCAGCCTACCCTATATCTAGTAATCTCCCGACTATTCCCGAAAGTTCGAGAGGTGGCGTGACACTAGTCACGTGACCTCGCTGACGCAACAATATAAACTGTGGTAATCAACTCAAAACTATGAAAATAGAATAGATATATATAAGTATATGAAATTTTGACAACTCTTAGACTGCCTCATTGTCTTTAAAAAATTAATTATCTGCTTTTTCTCTACTCTAAACGACTTATTCTATAATGGTATAGGGGAGCTAGGTTGAGGCTGATTCCCCCCTTAGTTACAGGTACCTCAAAATTCTGAATATATTATAATATTACGTATCTGCTTGTTTGTTTGTTTCCGGTAGAAATTCTTCCGAGGATCTTCAGCGATACAAGTCCTTTCTTGATTAAACCAGTTTATTCTTCCTCGATACAAACTTTTATTGCACAGAAGTTCCACAATCAGTACGTTTCTCGTCACTTTAAACTTAACAACTTTTATAATACACGCTATAAATCACAGCGATTCACGATCTCAATAACTTCGCTCTAGACGAGTGCAAAACGCACACTTTACGGTTCACTAGCTCGAAACTAACAAAATCATAAATTACACGGAACTCAAAGTAACTACTCCTCTCTCTTCCATCATCCCAACTGCCATTCTCTGCCAGGCTTATATACTAACGAAGAGGGCATCTCGAACACACTCGGACTTCCCCGATCATTCGAGAAACTCATCACGCCAACGCGCCAGCAGCGTCATGTAACTTCCGCTGTCGTAACAATAAATTAGCTGCAACACAGTCTGAGGACCACTTCTTGGTGATTTATAGTAACGGTACACCACACCTTCCAGCACTTGTACATGGCCATACAAGTGCCTCAGGTTACGTGTACCAATTCTACACTCCTATATTAATGCTTGTTGGGCTATACCTTGCGAAACGGCAAGAAGGCCCTGTTAAGTTGGGGTCCTTCACTTGTTCTTCTTGAAGCTCCTGACGTGCTAATTGTGACACCTATCCACGAATTGTTGGTAATACAAGAAACTTTGAAACTGTGGGTTTTTCGCTTGGTCACAGGGGGGAGTCCAATCTCTCATTATGACTATATTAAATGGGTCTGTAGTGTCTCTATCTCACCCTACAATGTGATGGAGGACTGTCGCTTCTGTGTGCAAGAGTGGGCTCTGCTGAGATTTCATTTTCAATTATTTTTTTATTTATCTGCTGGAATACCGTTCTAAGGTTCTTAACAGCAGACTTGAATTTTTGACCAAATATCAAAATATAATTGATGTAGACCAGGCACCTCTCCCATTGCAGTTCATTTATTTTACGCTCCATTAGTCTCTTGAATAGTGGGCATGTTACCCAGGCTGAATAGCATGATGCAGAATACATACAAGTCATCTCTTGTATAAAAATAAAGCAGCCTTAGATTTTCTCTTGTCATCCAACTCAAATTGCCAGATCTAAAGTGTTGAACCTTTTAATTAATTCAGACACACACATCTGTTCATGGTACAAGGAAGGCATCAATGCAATTTACTGTATTCGCCTACCTAAAATCAACACAGAACTTTGGCATACCTTCCTCTTTTTCCAGACAGTCACTACTGGAGATTACTAAGAACTCTGCAAAATTTGTGTAACTATGTCTTTCAATATCTACTGTATTTCATCACTTATGACGTACTTAGTGTTCTAGGAAAGCCGGCGTGGTGGTTGCTTTATTAGATGTGCATTACCTGTATCTATGTTGTGCCAAGCCACCATTGTTCAACCAAATCAGTCATCTGGTCCCATAAATACATCACCATATTGAAACAACAAGTTAATGGGTTGTTTTTACTGAATGGGTTGTAGATTGTTTTTACATTCCTCAGCCAATAACCTGAGAGGTATTAATAGCTACATACTTGCTTTCTGGTGTGGTGTGATGGACCCAAACCTAGTGTTACAGCTAGCATCAATTATTTCCACTTCACTTACTGTACCTATAAACCATTCCAGTCTACAGCTGAATAGCCGATCATCCTTAATTGCAAAAAAAAAAAAACACTGGGACTTCATCCCTCATCAGACAGGTGGCGTCCAAGTTGATGCTGTCTGCTTTTTGGACAGAAAACAGTTACTTCATGTGTGACTACTTCTATAGCTAGTTTACATAGTACTGGTGCATTGTATTTTGTCCTTAGTATACCACAGAACACCCTTTAGTTATGGAGGTGCTATTATTCCCTCTGCTACATACACTCATGCAGTCCACAGTTCCTGCACTCAAGCTGGTTGACACCAGATGAGACTCCTGTGGAACATCTCTTCAGCAGTTGCACAGTGAAACTGATGGATCATATTCACAGTATGTTCATTCTAAAAATGCCAATACCAGTTCCAAGGCTGGAGATGACTACCTTTATTCTGTAACTGACATATTCTATCATACCAGTGATCTACCTCTCCTCTAATATCTAATCTATTGTTATTCAACAAAATAAAGTCACTGTCCACTGGTTGAAGTGTATATATTGCAATGCCTTTCATTGTTTTGGCTGCTCCTGTGTCAACCAATAAATCAACCTCTCATTCTTGTTCCCTCATAGGTACATACCAAACTCTACTCAGTCCTTAAATAATTGGTCTGATCACTAAACCTTTCCATGCAAGAAGTCCGCTGCACCCCAAGCCAATGGCCTGACCAATTTCGGGATTCATTAGTTTCTAGAGCATTTGCTACAATATACATCACTTGCTACTAGTTGTCCTGGACCTGCTGAGGCAGCTTAGCCATTGGACAGAATCATTAACTTTGCCTATTTTGCTGCTTTGCCAAAATCAATGGCCCTGTCACCTTTGTTTGCTCATCAAGGTAAGGGCAGTATCCCACCAGTTCACAAACAAAGCAGATCCTTCACACCTCCTATCCAGAACGATGTCCAGGTGGTGGTAATATGCATTAAACAAGGCATGTTACCCATTGGTGGGCCTAGACAGCTCTGCTCAATCATTGGATACTAATGTGGTTGTATTGCAGTGCTAAAGCATGTGGTTGGTTGGTTAAACATCAGTATAGCTCTAGCTAGACGTGGAGATTGTTCTGTCTGAAGTGAAACTGCTACTGCTATCACTTTTTCTTTTCCAATAACTATCCTAAAGTTACTACTTCATACCAAGTAAAAATGGAAACTCCTCTGACATGGTTTGGATGCCACACACACACTCAAGTGGTGCTTTATAGCTTTATTGGGAAATCGCTCAATTAAGTTGTTCACAAGGATATTCTTTTAATCTGATTTTGAAATTTCAGGGCAGGCCTTACTGTGCAATTGGCACAGGTCATCTGTGTAAACAGCCAGACCATTGGCTCTTGTCCTCTTCCAAGCCTTAAACTCCACGTATCTTAATCTACACTCTGAAATTTCGTTCTTACATGATATCCCGAAACGTAACTGCTACCCACAACACTTATTAGAAATCATTACCAACACCTTCCAAACAAAGAAACTCACAAATCCAATTAAGATACCAACTGTACCCAAACTTACTATATACTTGTGTCTTCCCTATACTGGTAAACAAAGCTTATCTTTAAAAAATCAACTTAAACGCATACTTGGTCGTTACTACCCTCAAGTGGATTTCAAATTAATTTTTAAATCCACATCACGCATACAATTTTTTTTTCCCTACTAAAGATCTCCTTCCCATTCCTTATTGTTCCTGGCTTGTCTTTAAGAAAATATTGTTACGACAGCGGAAGTCACGCGACCCTGGGAGCATGCGCTCTGGAGTTTCTAGAAGGATCATGAATTTTTCTAGGAACTCTAGTTTGTTCGAGGCGCCCTCTTTTTTCTAGTATATAAGCCTGGCAAAGAAAGCCAGCGAGAGGGGCAGATAGATTGAAGCGATATAGATAGATTGAAGAGATAAATAATTGAGTCAAGCGAACAGTAGGCGTCGTAAGTAAAGTGTGTGAATCACTGTGATTTATAGCGGGTGTTTATAAAAGTAGTTAAGTTAAAGTGACTGTGGAAATTCTGTATATTACTAAAAGTTGTATCAAGAAAGAATAAACTAGTTTTAATTAAGAAAGGACTTGTAATGCTGAAGTTCCTCGGAAAGAATTTATACCGAAAATTAACAAACGAGCAGATACGTAACAATATTTTATAAGTTATTTTAATGTTTTCAAATTAATCTAATATTTAATCACAAAAGTATTTTCGCAACAACGAAGTATATAGGTTATAAATGTACGACGTTTGGACAATATTTGCCATCCTCAAGTACCCGAGGATGACAAAATCTTGTCGAAACGTTGTACATCTATAATAAAGTTTTTCATTACCCAGTCATGCCGTCTCAAAACTTTTATTTTCCAAATAGTGGTTTCCTTGTTATCAAGAAGTATATAGATTTATCTGATTGTTAAAATGCTTTGATTAATATCAATGCTTTATTAGATTTTGTTTATTCTGTATTGTGATTGTCTTAGGAAAGAATAAAGACAGAAAAATATATAAGACTGTAACACGACTCTGTGAGGCAACTTAGACTAATGTGCTATAAGGCTACTAAAACTGTAGGTGGTACAACTGTATTTGGTGCCTTAATTTTTTTTTTTTCAGAAAACTACTCATCTGTCATATTTCAATATTTTATTATTTTTCTTTCCCTTAAATACCTACTACCTAATTTATGTTTTATTATAAAATTTACATTTTATCTAAATTTAATTTCTAATCGTTTCTCTATGGGAAAAATTGTCATATATTTGCAAACGTAATGAAAAACAGTTACGTTTTCTATCCCTCTATAGTTGTTTGTTATATCCGGGATCTATTTTATTAGATTGCAGATGCGCAGTTAGATAGTGAGTTGCCTCGTTTTTTGCAGATGTGGTGTTGGTAAGGTGAGTTGGTTGTTATAGTTTGGTCCAGTATGTATCTTATTTGTAAGCTTTTTATATCACATGGTTAAAAGTCTGGGTAAATATCATTAAGCATTTTATTGATACACCAGATTAATAATGTTTAAAATCCTAACTTGCCTAAGTTAAACTTAAAATCAAGGCAGAAGCCAAAAATCTGCCATACGGTGCATACTGCCAGTATTTCTGGTGTCTTCTTACTTTAGTGGTTTTAATAAAACGTTTAAACTTTATTGGGAATTTTGGTATAATATGATTTGGCACAAATTATTTCTTTCAGGTTTTATTGAGTAATTATAACCTTTTTTTATTTTAGGTTTTAATCTAGCAAAATTTATAACCAGTTCATACGGCGTGTTCGCCTTTGGAATTTTTGGAACGTTGCCCATTTTTTGTATCGACATTGATCAAAAGGTTTTATATGACGTCTATATCTTTTTGGATAGGTAAGTTTGTTAAAAAAACAAAAAAAAACAACAACAATAACACAGTCTTACTATAGATGAATCGAAATAAGAATATTTTAAGGTAAAATATGCAATTAAACGTATGTATAAAAAACAGGTAGAGCATTTCATTTCCAGAAAGTTCAGCGGTACTTGTACTTTAGCCTTCTAGTTCTACTAGTACTAGTACTGTATCCAGGTTGAAGCGATTGCAAGATAATTTTTGAAAACAAGCCTACTCAGTAAAATTGTAAAAGTAACCCATTTTATAATACTAATATTGATATATTCTTGTTATTGATATTGTGAAATGTACGTTTTTACAAGTAAATTTTCCACATATTTTACTTGTGTACAGGTTTTTTTTTTTCTTGAACTGGAAATGAAGGTAGGCCTAGGCCTAATTTGGAAATTAAAATAAAATTAATATTTATTTTTATCACTAAAAGTAAAAGTGCTGTATTAATTTAAAGTTAGGGAGATGGTTGAACCTCTTCATTGTGCAGATGTTTTTAAATTATTTAATAATGACTAATGTGGTTTTTGCTACATAAGTTTCAAAGCCACTAGAACAGATTGTTTATGATTTCATGGTTTGTGACATCATATTCACCTATCTATTAATAGTGTTCCAAAATTTTGACAATTTATGGTCTACATCTCTTAGTTACATAATTTATACATCTTGAAAATTTGTTTGTAAAATTTATAATGGAGTCTTTACTATACAGTTTTAATGTCACTAAAACATGTTTATGATTTTAGTGTAAAATCCTTGTTTTATAACATTGTATTCATTTTTAGGCCTACTGTTGTTTCTAATTTAGTTTTCCTAATATACAAGCAAACAACATACACTTTACAGGAATCCTGTATCCCAAATGTATTTGGAAAAAAATTTTGGAACTTCTCAGACATTCACAACTTTTATATTTCAAGAATAAGATAGAAATTTTTTGTACACAATTTATCTTGATCTTCAAGGTTATCATGGATATACAGCTGCAAGAGTAAATCAATGAATGTCAGAAAAGCCCCAAGATTTAGCACAAAATGTTTGTGAAAGCAGGTTATCCTGCTTGAAGGTATTGGTAGTAACATGACTTTTGTCATGTGGTGTACTTAATATGTAACCACTAAAAAAACTTTGTGGGATTCTGGGATGCATTATATGCATAACCAAGATAAATGCATCTGTTCAGGAATATAGCAGAAGGTTAATATATGCCTATAGCAACAGACATGAAGGAGATATAACACTGTGGGCCTTATGGCACAACAGTGAAAGAGTTAATCAATTGATATCAACTTCAAAACTGCAGAGTAGCTATCTGAAAGAGTAATTTGCAGAGATTCATTGATTCAAGTCACGTTCATGACAGATTCCATTTCATCATTATTCATTATTGAATACTTATTAATTTTTACTTGAATATACTTGACAGTATCCTAACTAGTTTTGTTATTTGGTGCAGTTAAGAAAAACAAGTGGAGTTGCATAATGTATTTCCGTACTGCATGTTTTACTTGTGTTTGAAAGTACATTTTGCTAATAATATAACAGTAAATTTACACACAAAGATTTATATGCATAATGGTTTTATTTTTGGGGAACGTGTTTTGAAAGAACATTAGTTTGTTGAAACATGTATGTTCCCCCTAAATAAAACCATTTCATTATGCTTACAAGTAATTTCCTGTCAAGTTTTGTCGCGATTCATTTGTGAAGATATGCACCTTCATGTATAGTTGCACTGAAACCATGTTTTAGTTAATAAAAATGCAATACAAAATAAATCTGGAGATAGATCAATGTCTTTGTTTATTTCTTTTAATTCTGCATTAGTGTAGAGAAGATAAAATTTGTATTGTGTAAAAAATGTGAGTAACCCAGTTTCATTAAAAGAATGTGCATGGGATTGGTCCATTTTACTGACACCCCCCCCCCACATTGGAAAGGGAATGTTGACTAATTCAGAATTTATTAAGCATATCTATACAAAATATGGCAAACTTTGTCAAAAGTACAAGTCTGTTGTACCCCAAAATTCAGATGTTAGAAAAGTATTTATACTCAAGATATGTATGTGAATTGCCAACATCAGTCTGACTCGGACACTAACAAGCGGGAGTACAAGGTGATATTCGCATGAAGAATGAGAATACTTTTTACCATTGTACAATTTGCATATTGTATTTGCATAACATGTAGGACTTCTGAAGTGCACATCTGTAGTTTTTCAGTATACCAATGTGTTGTTTCTGTTATTTATTTCCTCTACCATTGAATGGTATGCTCATTATGACCCACCCATACACTAATGGTTAAAAATAAGTTTTCAGATAAAATATTTCTAAGGCAAAAATGTACACTATGATTGTGTGTGTGAAAAGACAAGCTAAAAAACTGGAGAATTGTGTGAGACCAGGTTTTTAGAATATGTAACATACTTTGTTAGTTATCATTCTGTAATCTGTATGTACGCATGTTATTCTTTGTAGTATTTTTAAGAAATGATTGTTGTTAGTTCATAAATGCATTTTATTGCTATAACATTAGTTTAAGCCATTGGATCAAAGTCTGAATTAAATTTTAGTTGTTAATTATCCATAAACTGAATTTTTTTTTTTAATGTACACTAAACTTAGACTAGTCAGGTTGTTTCTAATTTTGAAGTATGGGAATGAAAGTGTAAGGAAATATGGGCAAAGCTACCCCGATCAAAATTTATTTCCATTGTTTACAAAAACAGTTGTTTTCAGAGAGCACATTTTTTTTAATGTTTTTTCTTTTATTGCTTGAAAAGTACACAATTTCCTATGAAATTTAATCTTAGTAGGCTTAGCTTAAAACTTGTACCTATAAGCATAGAATATGCTTGTTCAAAACGGATCTAGCTATACCATTTAACAGTGTGAAAAGTTAAGTTCTTCTGTATGTCACAACATTTTAACAATTACATTAATAAAGTTTATTAAATTTTTAAAAGTATCTCAATACAGTTAGCATCAAATGTAGTTTATAAGTCTTAATTTTATTTTGTTTTAGTTCTTTAAATTAAAAAAAAGAATTCTAAATTTTCACTTGTCATGTAATGTGAGTACTCTTCAAGTTTTCCTCTTAGTTAGTACAAATCAAAATCTCCATACACATGCTGTAAATCATATTTTAGATACAATCTATAGATAATTCCAAAGTCCAGAACTTCAGGTTGAACTTGTTGATGCTTGTTTACTGAGATTTAAATCAACTCTAAACCCATGAGAGAAGCCATGCCCATCTGTCCTTAACTTTCAAGGCTTTTTTCAAATGCTCCATTTTATTTGATGTACTTGTTTAAAACCAATAGAAAAACTTACTTTAGGTTAGAGGCTTTCAAATGGTTCTTTTGAAATTGGCAACAAAGAATGATAGCATTATTCATTTTTCTAACCTAATTGTTTCTTAGTTAGAAAAACAGTCAGATTTTTTTTTACATTATTTTAGTGAATTATGTATTATCTTTTAAAATGAATATTTGAAAGGTAAATCTTTTCTGCCAAGAAGTTGGAAAAATTCAACAAGGCTTAGCTTGGTAGGGGACAAGTGCAAACTTCATGAGTGCAGTACTTGAATGTATGGAGAAAATAATGATATATGTGCCTTATGATTAATGCATTTCTTGTATGAATAGACTGAACAGCATATAAGCCAGAGAATATAACTATAAAATAAAAAAACTGCATGAAAAGGAAAACACTATAATTTGTGAATAACTTAATCCTATTTTGAAAACATGATTATTGAATTTGAAAAAAAGGTTTTGTTCATTAAATATGAATACTGTAAGATGAATTATTTTTAACATTGAAAATCTCTTTGCACCCAGACCTAAGACCAATCAGACTCCAAGACAGGCCGACTTAATACATTCACAGAAATACTTTATTACAAATTCTGATATTTTTGTGTGCATAATACTGGTAATGCTTAGTAAAAACCAAATTTTGAGGATACACCAAGTAAATGTTTAAGTATAGTAAACATGGCTGTGTACGGCTTCACAGAAGCAGGGATGGGTGTCAGACTCTTGGAATAGCACTTATTATGAACTGTTTTCTATCTGTGATACCAATTATCAGTAGCAGGGGAATGAAAGCAAGTAGAAGGAAGTGGGCGAAGATTCCCTGATCAAAATCTCTATTTCTGGAAATATTAATTCATCTGTATTGCTGACATGTTGCTTTGTTAGTTGCTTTGTAAGCCACTATAAGAATTCTGAAGGTAACTGAGTTACTTACCAATATCAGTTTTGGGTAGGTAAACACGTGTATAATTTGTCTTTATACTGTTTTAAAATGCACAACACCAAAAACTAAACTTGGGTATAGAAATGATTTTTTATGAAAAGATCCGTGATTGAAATTAGTTGGTTAGATACAAGTTCATAACTTTTTTTTTTGCGGGTAACTTTTATGTTGTATGTACCCAAGTATAAAGATTATGCAATAGTTTTTTTTTTTTTTTGTACAAGACTTGTAAAGTTGTAACTATTCTGACATAGTAAATAGCTCTTGTGAATATATGGAGTCAGACTATTGACTAGTCTTGGTGTAAGGTGACTTTCATCATGTTAAGAATAATCTTTTATGCCAATTATGGTAATGGGAAAAACCTCTTCTATGGATGTTAGGGTTAAAAATATTTTATCTTAGTTTTGATATTGGATTTGCATAACTAATATCATTATTGTTACTATCAGCCAATATTCTATCACAACATTAATATCATTATTGTTACTATCAGCCAATATTCTATCACAACATTAATATCATTATTGTTACTATCAGCCAATATTCTACTATCACGACATTAATATCATTATTGTTACTATCAGCCAATATTCTACTAAATGAATACCACTTTTTTTCAATAAAACTATTATGTTACTTTCTTTACCCTGGTTCTATATGGACTGACCTTGTAACTGCCAAAAAAAAAAGAAAAATCTAAGTTACCC